GTTGTCTACAAGAATCAAATTAAACGACGCAGAAGGAGACAAATCGGATTTTGGCTCGGCATGTTTGTTGATTTTTTTTCACTTGTCTATGGCTAGTCAACTAGCTTAGGAAAAGTGTAAAAAACTAGCTTAGGAAAAATGTGCACCTTTTTCTGCTAATTCATAAAATGGCACAATAAAAAATACATTGGTTTTGAAAGAAATTTGTGAATTTTACAAAGTCCATGAATTTGAAAAAAATCATGAATTTAAAAATATTCACAAATTTGACATTTTTTTATTTTTTAAAAAGAGAGCAAAAATTTATGAATATTCATGAATGGAAAAAGAAACAAAGAAAAATAAAACTGAAATCAAAGTCAAAATAAGAACTAAAACAAAAACAACAAGCCTGGCGCGGAACATTCTAAAATGTTTACAGAACCGGCTAAAACGGAGTTTAGTAGCGCCTCCCTAGATGGGTCGTCCAGTATGTAAACTACTAGCCATAAAAACCATCACGTAAGTATTGCCCATTTACACATGATGTTCAGGATCCATCATCTATGTAACGGTAGCAATTTTTCTGTGCCTGAAGATCCTTTGCAAGTGCCTGAAGATCCTTTGAAACGAAAACAACAACTGCTACTCTCGCGGCATGATGATACTAAGGTGCCTAGCCGCTGCGGTGATCCAAAGTCTGGTCGGGTCTTGAATAAGCTCAAGAATGCAGTAGGGCAGCGTTTGATTTCTTCTTGAAGACTCTAGCATTCTCGGAAGCTTCCTCCCTGGCAAGGGAGAAACATCACCACGGTCGCTTGGGCGGCTTTGGCTAAGTCGGTCCTTACTTCACAAGTCATTTACCACATCACCCCCTCGACGGCCCCTGTTGTGTTACACAACAACAAGATTGAGTGTGCCTTCCTCTGGTCAGCTAAGGATAAACTCTAGGTATGAGGCTCATTTTCCTATGTCTTTTTATTGCCCTTAGGACAGCCATTTGTGGCATTTTATTTGTTGAACTCTATTGAACTCCGATACGTCTCCAACGTATCTATAATTTTTTTATTGTTCCATGTTGTTATATTATCAATCTTGAATGTTTTTTATACATTTACTAGCTACTTTATATCATTTTTGGGACTAACATATTAACTTAGTGCCCAGTGTCAGTTGTTGTTTTTTGCTTGTTCTTTTACTTTGCAGAATATCAATACCAAACAAAGTCCAAATGCCACAAAACTTTTGGAGATTTTTCCTGACAAGAAGAGACCCTCGAAGCTTCTGGAGGCCACGAGAAGAGGCTCGTAGGGCCCACTAGGCACCAGGGCACGCCAGGGGCCTTTGGCACACCCTGGTGGGTAGTGGGGCCCATAGGCACCGCCTTGACCTACCTCTGCCTCTATAAATACTCTAAAATCCCAAGAACTCTAGGGGAGTTGACGAAATATTGTTTCTGCCGCCGCAACTTCCAAA